AATACACTCATTTTTAAAGTAACTGTACTCAAACTGAATTCAAAGCCACACTAAATTTAACTTTTCTTGAGGATTCAAGTCTTAATCATCAAGAAAAGGGTAAATTTTGCCCAGTGGGCGTGATCCTTACCTCAGAAAATAGGGAGCATCCGAGAGGCTCCTCGTAAGGGAAGCCAGTTCTCTCACAAGCGTGCAGATTCTGATTCAGATCTGGGTTGAGGCCTGAGATTCTGCCTTTCTCACAAGCTCTCGGGTGATGCCGACGCTGCTGGAAACTCCACTTTTGAGTCCTAGAGAGCCCCACACGTTGCAGGGATAGGTGGCGAGCTCTTTGGCCGGGCTGGCCAGACCTCACCTATATACCACCTGAGCCACTAGCTCCAAATGCAACGGGGTGGGACCCAAGCGAGGACCCACTTGTTCCCAAGTAGGAAACATTCTGAAATCTCCCGTAAGAATGAGTCTTAAAAAATACACAAAAGCAGCACACAAGGATCCTTGGTCTCTACCACCTTAGCTCATCACTGAACAGGATAGACAACTGAGCCTGCTTCTTCTCCCTGGCAATGCCGACCGTGCGTGCCCCACTCTACCGACAGCCCGAGTACAGCTGTCTCAGGGCTCCTCTTCCAGGTGACACGCAATCGATCACTCCCGTCAAAGGGTCCCGGCTATGCACAGGGTACAGGAGCCTGCAAACACTGATGTGAGCCTGCCCTAGGAATTGGGATGGTGACCGGCCACCTCCTCTTCTTACACTGCTATGGCACAGAACAGGATGGGATGGAGACAAAGAGATTCTCTTAAATTCTTGGCATGCAGGCCCTTCACAAACACAGGCAGCAGTGTCCTCTTCTTACAACTGACGCCTCCATGCTCCCCTGCCCTCGTACCTCTGTCAGCTGTCACATTTATACAGACGGGTTCCACAAAACACTTTTTAAATGTGCATTTCTTTAATTTTTAAAAATATACACAGGAGAAGCCATGTGTTTTACATAGGAATACACACATTAACAAAGCATTTGTTATAGTTTTCCAAAATTCTATTATATCAGTCTGAAATTTATAAATTAAGTATAGCAGAACTTTTAAAGTCAAAATGAAATCCCTGAAACTACTGGATGCAGTGGACTTTTTTCCAAAATCAAATGAACAGAGAATATGAATATGGTTTGTGTTAAATAAGGTTTATTGTTAGCTTTATTGCCTATAGTCTATAAGATGCAACTTTATTGTGCCTTTGCAAACAGGATACATTTCTTAAAAAACTGATCAAAATTTTCCATACATATAGCTCTATATGATAGATTACAGTGCAACACTATTTTTGTTACATAATTATAGAAATACTATAGAACCCAAGAGCACAGCGTAAGCAAAAGAAATACAATCCTGAGCCATCTGAACAAGATGATTTAATGAATCCTTTTAGTGTAAGTTTAGAAAACACGGAGGAGAAAAAAAAAGATACATGCACACTGCAGTCATGAGCAAAATACATTAAATACCTGTTCCTTGCTAGACACAGGTGGGGGACTATGGTGAATTTCAGACACATGCACACGCACTCACACTCCCATCTACTCCTGCTTCCCTCCCATCCCCAATACATTCACTCCCACCCCTTCCCCAAAGAAAAGATCAGGCACTAAATCCTAGTGAACCCCACATCTGCCTTGCTGGAGAACGTGAAGGGACTGCTAAAATAAGAGTAGAAATCCTCACCCACAACACGAAACAAAGCATGTGCCGTAAGCCAATTCCAGCTGCTTTTGCCTCTTTGGAAGTAAACGAAGCATATGCTCACTACAGTTTACAACTGTAGAGGGAAAGGTCTTGAAAACAAAACTGTCTTCCCTCCCTATCCCCTGAAGTAAAATCAACAGCGGAAAACTCACCCTAAAACTAATTGCCTCATCTGCTATTAAAATACATGTGTCATTCTATTTTTGGTATCTATTCAATCATAGTTCAGTAAGAACAGTTCATGAAGTTTGTACCTGCTTATAGTAAACACTACTGTACCACATAAAACCCACCACGGCTGGACAGGCTTATGAAGCACCAAACCTTCTACGTGTGTGTTCCTTGCTAACATTCGCTCAAGACCACAGCATCCTAGTGTTACCAAGGATAATGTACGTAGAGTTAAGTAACGAAAGGTATTTGGTTTGTGTCTTCACCTTACACATCCTGGTGATGAAATTAACCAAACCATGCCTTCCCTGAAAATAACCTGAGTCTGCTGACTACGCAAACTGACCAGCTCGACTGTCAGTCCACTAATCAGAGGTTGAGCTGGAAAACCAGAGGGCTAATGTCTACCAGCAGCTTGTCTTGTGCGGATAACCAAGAGTTCTTGGTTTTTGCAGTATCTATTGTCCCAAAGGCTGAACCACTGAGGTGGAAAGAACTCACAGCATCAAGAATACTGAACGAACTACACAGCCTGCGGGACTGCCTGGAGAGAAAAGAGGATCCTCATTCCCCACAGGACGTGCTGTGGGTTTTAGTGTCTCTGTGTACATCAGCTGCTACAGAAAGAAAAAAAAAAAGATTAACTCCATAACTTTCTTATTTTCAATTAAATGCTCATACACTCACAAAATAGTCACACACCCTATGAATATGAGGTGGCTCTTCTCTTCAACATTTTTAAAATCAAGAGGCACCAATACCCGTTCATTTATGTATTAGAAGTCTCACAGAATCACCACCAAAACGACAGAAATGGCATTTGTGATGATCACACAAAGGAGAAAAAGATCGAAAGATAAACTTAGCCGCCGTATTTCAGACTGTACTTGAAAGCACAGACGCTCTGGCTAAATTAGAATCTAAGGTTCTAATAAGGTTTTCTTGGTTTCGCATAGTCCCATGGCCTTTGTCCGTGACTGATAAATGGAATGGTTCCTAAGGTAATTGAGGAAACCACTCTGCAATTCTGTTTTCGATGTATATTATTATAATTAGTCTGCCTAGAAAAAAAACCCTTGGCTCTGTCATGGCCTTCTGCAAACAGAGGAAGAGCATGGCGAAGAGCATCCTCCTGCACTGTTGACTACACGGCCTCGGCGATAAAGTCCTGACGCCACTGGTGAAGGGGGTTCCAGAGCAGAAAGGACCACATGTTGTATTTCAGCATCTTTGGTTAAGGTCTGGCCTTGTCAAATCCACCTCTCCTTCCCATTTAGTCACCAATGTTTTAAGCCCATGCCTTTAGTTAAAGGTCACAAGACATAGTTTTCATGTCAAATCAAGAGTTTCAAATTTCTGGCCCTACCCTGCCCAGTAGGACTGTAAGGACCTTACACAGGAAACTGTAAAATCCAATGCTTCAGTGAAAAGCATGCTCTTTTTAAAGTTTCATGAGCTGCATAGAAAACTGTCAATAGGATTCCCAACACTGGGAGAGGGACAGAGCACTTTGTCCTTAAAAGTGGCCTGAGCCAACTATATGAAGTGTGTGGCCCCCCAAAATATTTACCACCAGCCTCTAGAGCAACATCTATATTGTACAAAACTTACGTGAAGCCTAAATGTTTTATACGTTTTTCAGGTGGAAAGGTGAGAATAAGAGTTGTGAGTAAAGCTAAATCTGGCCTAGTGAGAAAAAAGAAGTAAACAAACAAACAAACAAACAACGTCTGGATTTTAATTCAAAGGAAAATATAGGTCATAAACCTGTTTTACATCCTCAGCCAGAGTTGCCTGGAATTCTCTACCTTCTGTTATGGAGTCCAACGAGCTTCTCTCTGCTCTCTTCCTTCACTGCTTAACCGGATAGAGGGGAAACTTTAGGGAGGGTTCCAACAGGAAAGCAGAAACATGGCTAAAGTCCCGGTGGGGCCAAGACTGAGGTCGGACAGAGCAAGCGTCGTGCCTGGATAGCCTAACGCTGCCCAAAGCGGTCACCCGGAAGCCTGACCACACACAGCAGTCAAGCAGCGTTCTCCTGCAGGTACTCCTTTCCTTTAGACGTACCCCCGCTCTCCCAGACAAACATTTCAGGACAAACCACCTGGTCTGGTATGGGCTGGTACGCTACTGCAAATGCTGACACTTTCCAGTGAATTCAGCACCAAACCTGTTTTCTCCCTCCCTGCGGAAGAAACCAATCTGCAGTTTAAAACACAAAGTGTCCCAGTCCTCTTTACTTCTGTGTTTTCTTCTTTCTCCATTTTCTCATCAAAGTTTTCCTATATTGACGTTCAGTTCCACGTCAGATGAAATAAAGTTGCAAAATATTTGGTGATTTCCACAGAACATTCTTCTCGTAATGAACTGACTTAACGCGCTTAAGTCAAACTGGCTTAACGTGCTTAAGTCAGAAGTATGTCCAAAGAAGTCCTTTCCATGTAGTTCGTTCATCATATAGAGAAAGACTCTTACACATGGCTATTTCTGGACAGTGCATTAAACGAAGATACCTCACAAGAGAAAAGATCATTATCTGTATCCATTAGAATAATATACAGATTCACAGTCAATGAGATGATACACTTTGCAGAAGAGAGGCATTGAACGGTATACTATTCAAATACAAAAACAGCAATAAACATATTCTGCACTACAGAAAATATGCTAACTTCTAACTTTAAGGATTTAAAGTAATGAGTCTGGTAACTGCATTTTAGGACTGGAACATGCTTCTTCCCTTCCAGGGACACAATGTTTGATGCCGGTGCACATATATATATATATACACACACACACAACACCGTGTCTGCAATGATATACAAAGAGACAGACAGCCGAGTCCTGAAGGCAGATTTCAGAGAATAGGGCTACCAAGACCAAGAGAGCAAATATTAACTTAAGAACACCTCTAACTTCAGAATTTCATTTTATTGAACACACCTTTTAAAACAAGCACCTCTTGGCAATAAAAGCAAAGAAACAAGAGTACTCCTTCCACTCTGTTCTAGTGGAAGACTTCTCACACCAACCTGCTAAATTCATGATGGAATCAGAAACAGGCAGCCCACTGGGGCTACAAGCAGAGCTCAAATGCAGGTCTGCTAACTTCTCGGGGAGAGCTGGAGCAGAGGAAAACACCAAAAAGCAAACTGGGCATCTATCACAGCTTTCTTCCTTAAGCAAAACAAATGCAAATTAGTTTTATAACCACAATTCAGTTTTTCAAACTTTTTCTGAAGAATTTTCATTTAATTTTGTATACATAACAGGAAGTAAAACTTTTTCACAAACATTCTCAAACCTTACAATTATCAAGAAATGACTAAAGTAAAAGCAGGAGAAATATTAAACACATGGCAGGGAGGTTGATTTCTGTTTCTGCTCTTAAAAAGTAAAAAAATCACCATATAATTAAGTACAAAAACCTGCATTGAATGACAACTGCTGGTGTATTTACTTGATCAAAAATGAAGACCAAGAATATAATAAAGCCCTATGATAATATTCGTCTGGAGCACTCCCCTCAGTGTGTGTACACTAAAATGTTGGCAAAGTTTCTGGAGCATTAGCTTATATAAACACGGGAGTCCTCAGTTAGCTGCATTAAATGGAACGTTCTCTTCTGAAATGCGCCACAATTCAGTTTCACTTACAAATCGCAAATTAAAGTTATCTCTTCAGAAAAATATCTGTTTGGCATCTCCTGGACTTTGTTCCATTGGACAATATGGACATTTTAATCTAAAGACAAGAAAGAAAACATTGAATCAAGGAACAGGATCAGTACTGAGCATTCAATTTCCTCTACGGAATGTCAATGTCTTTAACAGTCACACACTCACACTCACGTCTGTATTTTGTTTTGAGGGTTAACTGTGCTTTCCCTTATTACACCAGCCAAGCTCTGAAGGGTCACAAATAAATACCAATCAAGCCAGATGCTAAACTGAAGGCTTTCCTTCAGTGGAAATGAGTGAAAACTGTTTTGTAAACAAAACAAAGACAACGGTTTTGAAAATTGCTCTTGCAGTTTCAAAAGTAAGCCCAATTTTCCTCCTCCAAAGTTTAGGCTGTGCCTGTCTTTGAACAAGCTTCAAATGGACTGGTCACACAATCCACTCAAGTGCAGCAAATCTGATGCCAGCGGCTGAGCCTAGAAGGCTTGCTGCCTACCAAGAACGACGCCCAGAACCAGCACGGTCTAGTCACCACCCACCGGCACCACCAGGGTTGCTGCATGGTCTGGGAAGGGCACAGATAGCTTCATTACATGCGAAGACTTTCTTTTAAAAGAAAGACTTTACCATAACAGGTCTCAAGTGAACTCCAATGAAAAATGTTCTAACTGCCTAAGCTGGAAATAGGCTTTTGTGCCTTTTTTCTTTTTATTATAAGTTGGGCCCAGTATGAGTATAAAAATTATAAATGTATATACCCTGCGAATTAGCAATTCCAAGTCTACAATTTATATATCACATGTAGATAAAGTAATTCTCTTTACAACAACAAAACGTTTAAATGTTCATTGATAGGGAATTGGTTAAATAAATTATCACATTTCCATATGGTAGAATACTCTGCAGCTCTAAAAAAAGAATGAGGGCTCTTTCTGTAGCATATAAAAGACCTTCAAAATACATCATTAAGTAAAAAAAGCAAACTTGAGTACCATATAGGGTATGTTACCATGTGTGTAAAGGCAGGGGGGAAATGACAATGTACTGCCTACCCAAAAGTTAAGAGTTAAAGATCATGCTTATAAATCTAATCATCAAATTCATGAACAAATAAAAAGACTGACAAGAAAAGGAAAGGAAAGGAAAGGAAAGGAAAGGAAAGGAAAGGAAAGGAAAGGAAAGGAAAGGAAAGGAAAAGAAAAGAAAAGAAAAGAAAAGAAAAGAAAAGAAAAGAAAAGAAAAGAAAAGAAAAAACATCAGATACCACCTTCCCACTAAGTTTCAAAAGAAAATTTTTTTACCAACATTTAAAAAATCACTTACTTGCTACCATTAAACATTTTATTCAGGGCATCTCTTGATATAATATGACCACAGACCAATTTCATGGGTGGATTGTTATCTGTCGTTTGCTGACGAAGAATGGGACAGGCAAATATAGAGTGATACCAGCACTTTTTACCAAGGTCCACTTCAATCTTCAAAAAACAGTAAAAAGGCTCAAGTTACGTCTCGGAAAACCATCTACATGTCAATATGCACTGGGAAGCAAAAACATTTATCAGTCTACTCATCCAAATGTATCTTTTTACAGCACTCTTACCTCAAAGACAGGCAGTCTTAGGGATTCAAGCCTTACTTCATAATTCTAATTAACCTTCAAGATTATTTATAACACTACTTTTCAAACTAAATTCTGATGTCTGAGGAGTCAAAGGAAGGCAATGCTCTAGATGTCTAACACTCCTGAAAATCTGTCAGAATAGATATACCCTAAGAGCAAAGCCCACCAGAAACCCTGTTTTGCAGCACACTCAGGTAGGTGGTAAAATTCAGTGTAATAATTCCTTTAAAGACAGAATAAACAAGGCTTACTTTTATGCAAGGTTCAGATCTGAGTTTCCCATGTTCTGTGTATAATGGTCCAGAGAAACTACCTGAAACAAGGACTTTAAGCTCAAGTTCAGCAAGACCTCTCACAATCTGTACATCAGAGCCATGGTAGGTGTACCAGTCATTTCTCTTCACAGGGAATGAAACAAACAGAAGCTATGAAATCACCTAGCTCAATGGTTGGCACACGACAGCGGGCTCCACAAACGTCAGTTCTTTCTGTTTTCTTTCCTTCCAAAATGGTTATCAATATAAAGTCTATTACCCAGACTCTTTCAAGAATGTTGACCAAGTGTAACAGAACAATCCTGAGAAATAATGGTCCGATCATCACCTCCCATTGCTTTACTACCCCAACACACAGATGTCAGGTGAATTCAGACTTCAGCGTGCTGCTCTGTGCTCATGCACAAATGTCAGAGATGCACGTAGCACAGCTGGGAAGCTGCCAGATTCTTGCAGGCACCTTCCTCAGCAAAGCAAGTGAAGGCTCAAGTTCTTTTCACTTGTTCAAATAAGCAACAGTCAAGGAGGGGTGCTGCCTGTGTCCTGACCACACTCAGACTGGGAATGCATCTGTGTCTTTAATCAAAACAGATCTCTGAGGAGGAGCTGGGGCAGCCAACCGACAGTTACCAGCTGGAAGGTGACTGTGGATAAACCTGTGCACAGGCGTGGCAGACAAAAAGCAAAAGCCAAAAGCGTATTTAGGCTTTTAGGGTCCGTGACACAACCGTGACAGGCATGATAACTGCAGTCCAAGTTTTAGTGCTTACTGTCAAAGGTCACATACAATGACCTTTGCCACTCCATGTCATAACTCCTATGGCAGCAAAGCTGGAGTCCCTACTATGTGTCCCATGTTATTCTAAGCATACCAATGTTATCTCTAGTCTTTAACAGCCCCAGAAAGGGAAGGAAGGTACCACAAACTACTGCTTAGAGAAGTAATAGGGTTGGCAAGTGACTAGAGGTGATGTTTAAAATCATGGCCTGGAGAGCAGTGGACACGCAGCACTGAAGGGCCGCTGAGGACTGCACGTGTACCAGGGACAACCTTTATTTTAGCAGCTCTGTGCTTATTTTGATTCAGCACAAACTCATGATTTCATAAATATCGATGCTTAACACAAAACTAAATTCAACCAGTTGACTCACCGCTCTTCTATTTTAAAAAACCGTAGTCCGAGTGGTTTCTCCAGGGCCCTGCAGAACACACTGCGTGCCACAGTACAGACGCCACGCACACCTGTGATGTCTTCCTTCACTAGCTCTCTACGTCAAAATTGTATTCGTTTTTTTCTACGTCAAAATTAAAAACCAGAAACTCCAGCGCCTCCAAAATGTACTAGCTCCCCATTTCTATTGTTTTTAATCATGTCTACACATGACATACAAGAATCCTGGCTGAACGGCTACAACGGTGTTCTCTCGTTAAAAGGCAAAACAGGGATTTTAAACTCTTAGCATCCATGTTCTTCTCATGGCAGGAAAAAACAGAGAACGGTAGAAAGTGGAACTCACAGGTAATTCATCTTTCTGGTTCCAAACTCCTGTGCACTGCCTCTGTTCTATCACGGCTTTGATATTAATTAACGCTGGCAGTGCCACACAACCTGCTGAGAAACTGGGAGAGAAGAGGAAATGTCAGTGCCAGGCCAGGTGTCAGACAGCTTGGTCCCAGGAAACATCAATCCCTCCAGACTCCATGTGCACAGGGTCCTGGCCATTGGACAGGGCACAGTGCCCTCTGCTTTGTTAAATCAGTGCCAAGAAAAAAAAAAAAAAACCTTCACATTTTACAAAACCACCAGATTCAATGGGCTCTGCTTATCAGTCATTAACGATATCCTGAAACAGTTTCTTGCTCAGCCTCCTTCTAGACCCTAGACCAGGATGCCCCTGTCCAGGGCAGAAGTGCTCATTTCTCAGACCCAGAAATGCTCACAGTCGTCTCTCAGCCGAGTCCCTCTTCAGGACTGCCCTCAGTTGAAGCAAGTCACCTGACCAGGGTCACATCTGATGACTGCTCTGGGTGAGGATACAGAGGCCCAGCTTGTCACCCTAATTTGGAACAGCTGCACAGGCCCACCATGGTGCCAGAGCTCCTCAGGGATGTGCTGAGGCCTCTGATAAGACTACTCTGCAGTCCAACTTACCCTAATCCTGCTGCTTTCATTCTGCCACGGGGGCTCATCCTAACAAACCTCCCTCGTGTCATCTCCACCATTTCACACTCTGTTCCCCCAGAGAACCTGACCTGCAGCCTGCTCATGCATTATAACAAACTGCCTCAGTGTCTCCTATGCTCAGCTGGAACACCCCACGGAAGGCAGAAGGTACCTTGTTCACCTTTGTAGCTCATACAATGCCTGGCACATAGCAGGGATCTAAAACACTTGAGGCATTAAATAAATAGGAGAGCTAAAGAAGTTATTTTCTTAAACAGGTTCATCGACTTCTTGTTTTCAAGACCCACTTACATGCTTAGATATTAAGAATCTCAAAGGCATTTGTTTCTGTGGGTTATATTATTGTACTAGAAATTAAAACTGACACATTTAAAAAATATCAATTTGTTTAAAATAATAAATATATCACGTTATAAATAACATTCTTACCAAAAAACAAAACAAAACAAAAACTCCGTATTTTCCAATCCAAAAATTGTGACAAGACTGGCACTGTTTTACATTTTTACAAATCTCTTTATGCCTAGCTTTATAGAAGACAGATTCTTATATCTTCTGTTGCATTCAATTTGTTGCAATGTATTCTTTTGATTTAAATAAATGGGGAAAAAAATCTGGCTTTAAACAGATAGGCAGTAATTTAATTGCCTTTTCAGATAATTGTGATATTCCTTTAATGCCACACCAAAACTCAACAAGTAGTAGATTCTTAAAGGTTAGTTGCAGAGTGGAGTGAATCCTTGCCACTGAATTTTTTTGTTTCCTGCTACATTAAAATCCAATTGTCTGTCTCACACTGTGAATGAATCTTTTACTCATGCACGATTTTATAAGATCACAGTGAATTAAGATCTTCTAAGTGTTAACACATTTCATTACACAATCTCAAAAAAATCAAATTCATTAATATCACCAATCTCATCAGAAAAGTATTGGGAAGGGACCCCTGGGCAGTTCAGTCAGTTAAGCATCTGACTTTGGCTCAACTCAGGTCATGACTTCACGGTTCATGAGTTCCAAATCTACACTGGGTGAGCTCAAGCCCCACTGCAGGAGCACTGTCAGCACAAAGCCTGCATGGGATTCTCTCTCTCTGCCCCTCACTCACCTGTGCACTCGCTTGCATGCTCTCTCTCAGATAAATAAGGGAAGGAAGGAAAAGAAGGAGGCAAGGAGAAAGAACAGTATTGGGAAGCTGCATGCCCACAGTGGCAGATACAAGTTTTCCAAAATTGCTATCTTAGCTTAAACTCATGAATTTAAAAGATACAAAAAGATATAGTCAGTTGCTTTCCTTGACATGACAGGCTCACTTCATACATGTGAAAAAACAGCTGCCAAAAACCTAAGTGTAATTAACTGTAGTGATTCTAATTTTTTTTTTTTTTAATGTTTGTTTATTTTTGAGAGTGAGAGAGACAGAGCACAAGCAGGGGAGGGGCAGAGAGAGAGGGAGACACAGAATCCTAAGCAGGTTCCAGGCTCTGAACCATCAGCACAGAGCCCGATGCAGGGCTTGAATCCACGAGCTGTGAGATTAGGAACTGAGCCAAAGTCAGACACTTAACCAACTGAGCCACCCAGGGGCCGCAGCTGTAGTGATTTTTTTCAAGTAAGAACTATTTCGTGAAAAAAACAACTAGTGGGGGCACTTGGATGGCTCAGTTGGTTGAGCGTCCCGACTTTGGCTCAGCTCATGATCTCATGGTCCCGTGAGTTCAAGCCCCGCATCAGGCTCTGTGCTGACAGCTCAGAGCCTGGAGCCTGCTTCAGATTCTGTGTCTCCCTCTCTCTGACCCTCCCCCACTTGCACGCACACACGCACGCGCGCGCGCACACACACACACACACACACACTCTCTCTCTCTCAAAAATAAACAGTTAAAAAAATTAAAAAACAACAACAACTAGTGTATTGGCTCATAAAAAATCAAGCAACATACACAGGTGTTTTCTGAGACAAGAGGATACTTTGGCTTGAAGTTGAAGTGCTTTATGAGAACTTCCCACTTTGTCACACAGAATATTAAAAAGGTGTGTACTCAAAGGTGAAGATGTAATAAAACTAATAATTTTAAATGTTTTGTCAAGAGCAATCTTTTTTTTTTTTTTTTTTTTTTTTTTTTTTTAGAACAGTCTTAAGTAAAACTAGTGTGTCTTAAACTGCAAGTGTGTGGTGAAATATGATGTGTGGGGAATATGCCAAGTCCTTTAGGAGTCTGGGACCGCTCTGCTGATCTGCGAGCTAAGGCTCAAGCAGTTTAATACACCACTGTTGCTGCACCATCTGTGGAAATATCGGCACAGTGAAAAAGGCTCTGGGTGACCCCCAGAGGTTCACAGATGACACTGCTCTAAGACTGTTTCATCACCAATTGTGATGATCTCCTGAAATACCAACCGTACTCTTCTTTAGAAAGACAAACGTTCTCTTCAAAAGCGAGACAGGAAATTAAGAAAAACTAAAGCAAGCAGTGCATATTTCAAATCAGGACCCATTTCCATACCTGACGCTGAGAGGGGACTCCACCGAGAGCCCCAGGAGGGCACAGGCGTCCCGAGTAAAGATGTCACAGATGTCAGCCCACTGGTTTGCATCAAGTAGGTGAACGTATGGTGAGTTCTCAATCCCTTGTCTCAGGTACACAAGGCTTCCCATCAAAACCTGAATGTCTAAACAAAACCAGTGACAATTTGGAGGTATGAATGAGCACTCCTGAAACAGGGGCTGACGTGGGGGTGGGAAGCTGAGAAAGGCAAAAATTCCCCCAACTGACATAGCCTAAGTTATTAACAATGTCTTTTAAAATTCTGGTCCTTAAGCTTGGTTTATCCCTTCACTGTAAATCAAAGAAACAGCATTGAGAGAAAGGGGAAGAAAAGGAAAACACTGAATACGAACTTCAAGTTACTTTACTCTTATACACAGCATAGTGTAACTACCATTATCTAGATGAGTAATGATAACGTCGTAAATGGGGCCACCAAACATTTCTGGCTGTAGAACTGGCCAGGACTCCCACACTGACATTCGGTGTCACTGCTGCCACCTTGGACACTTTGTGGTGGCATGCCTGCCTGCTCTTTCTCCTATCTCTTACATACAGAATCCCCAAAATGCAATGTCTCTGACTTTGAATCCAAGAGGCTTCAATGTTTTACTTTTGTTCTAGGTCCACTCAGCGATCTAATAATAATCTAAGCGATTAGCATCTACAATTATTTTAGTTCCTTAGCAAATTGGTATTAGATCTCCTTAAGATAAACCTAAATCCCAGTGGTGGCTATAGGTCTGTTCCAATTAAAAACATTTGACTCTAGACTCACCTTTTTGATGATTTAGGGCAAATGGCTGAAAATTTTTAGCATATTGTAATGCTTCTCGCTGATTCGTAGTTCCGCCCATTAACAAGCTAATAAAATACAGTCTGTGTAGTTTAAATTCCAAGGAACTGTTTTGGGCTATGAGCATTTCTCGGTTTGATACTGCCCATCTAAAGGAAAAGCAGAAAAGATTTTAACAGTAATTAAGAGCCGGCAAAGAGTGTCAAAAATTCTTTGAAACCTAACAACACACAAAAAAGGGTCTGGTCTGCCATCTTGTGGAAATCAGTGGTAACATCAATCCCTTGGCCCAGAGACTTTTGTAAAGAAAATAAACATAACTACACTCAAAGAGACACTTCAGCTAGTGAAAGTAAGATAAAAATAGTAAGTCAGATGACAATTAAATATTTAGTAAGGTTTTATACCAAGACAAGATGGACTCTGATGAGTCACAGGATATATTTGGAACTTGTACAAGGCCCACTTTGAAGCAGGTGTCAGCCATGAGATTCACTACTCAATTGCCCGTATCCACTACTCTTTTCCTGTTAAACTGGCATGGCATATTTATAAATGAATCATAAGATTCCGAATGGGAACCATCTATTTTTAGACTTTTTGGGGGCACAATATTTTGTGCTGCACACTTTGAGATTAAAAACAGCAAACAAGGTTATTTGTGCCTCAAGGTGTTTTCAGTCTAATCCGGCAGATAAAACTACATACATATCACATTTATATCACACTGTGCCATAATGATTTGTACAAACATACTGCTAATGAAGGAAAGAATATCCAATTCTGAAAGATCCAAAGTACAGGGACTCAGGACTCTCCAGTACACACAGTTGGGATAACCAATGTTGAGCTGGGTCTACCACTCCAGGTGGGCACTAGGCAGAAAAGTGTACCAACCAGCTGTTAAAATCAATTTTGCAATCAAATGGTAAGGAAGCATTACTTTATCTCTTTAAACAGATTAAGATGTAGGAGCCATATCGTATTTTTCATCTGACTTTCAGTTGGACAAATATTCTAACCCATTTCACCAAGAACCAATGGAACGTGAACTGGGTATGATTATAAACCCGGAGCAGCTCTGCAAACTACAAAAGTAAAATGTTTCAGGTTCCTCATAATGATCAGTTGAATGGGATTAGACTTCACAGAACTCTACTGTTACAGGATCCTACCCTAAAAGGGTTCCACATGCACATGGGTATTCTAATCAACCTGTTGATGCATCCACATCTTAGAGTCCAAACATGAAGCTTCTGTGACTTCAAAATCAAGGTTCTTGCTAAAAATATTTTAAAACTATATTCATCACTTAGACTTTGGCAATATTTACTTAAATTTAAGTAAGCTTTGAAACCTTGCCTGGTCACAACACCAAGTCTGAGATAAATCCTGCTGACACCAGCAACGTACTTCTGGCAGCGATCTTTCATGAATGCCCAACGCCAACCGCCAGTACCAAAAGTATTGAGCGTCTGGCAATATCTAGCTTGTCAGGGACCTTCATGATTTCCAGTTCCAAGGAGCACATTTATTTTTATTTTTATTCCAGTATAGTTAATATACAGTGTTGTATCAGTTTCAGGTATACAATCTAATGATTCCACACTTCCATACATGACCCAGTGATCAACATAACAACTACCCTCCTTAACCCCCTCACCTATTTCACATATCCCCCTACCCACCTCCCCTCTGGAAACCATCAGTTTGTCCTCTACAGTTGAAAGTCTGTTGCTGGGTTTGCTTCTCTTTTTTCCTTTGCTTGTCTGTTTTCTTAAATTCCACATGAGTGAAATCGCATGGTATTTGTCTATTTGGCTTTGCAGCTCCATCCACATGGTTGCTAATGTAAGATTTCATTCTTTTTTATGGCTGAGTAATATCTCATTATGTGTATACACCACATCTTCTTTATCCATCTATCTATAGACACTTGGCCAAGCAGTACATTTAAATCATGTTGCTTACCAAAAGTTTATCCTACACCCCTCACTCATAAAATCATGAGTGTGTTTTCCTACTAACAAGGAAGGAGAGGCAGCAAGCTACTTGTTTTCTGTTTCTGATATGAGGTACATGTGTAAGAGTCTACAGAGTCCAAGAAGGGAACTAATAGAGAGTAACTACAAATTTTAATAAACAAAGTCAACAGAGAGGGCAAAGTCCTTACGTAGGCAATTCACAAAGGAAAAAATCTATTTCATTTTCACAGGCAGATTTTCAGGATATAATACTAAAGGTGGGGAAAATTGTCCTGTCTAGGAAAAAATAACTCCCAGTTACAAGAATCTTTAATGGTAATGATTCCAGGGAAGCTGGACTGCATGCATTGTTCACCAACTGTTACGGTGCATGGGCTACAACAACCCAGACCAGGGCATCAACTCTCAGAGCAGCACCAGGAGGCCAGAAATAATGGGAGGACATAACGGTGGTCCAGAGGACAGTGACTAACACAGTCTATGCTGTCCTACGTTTTACAAAATTACTTTCAGTTAAGAAGGCAGTAACTTTTTAAGCAAATGCAAAAGTAAACGAAATTCTTAACTTCTTTTTTAATCAAAAAAGCTAACAGTAATTGCAAATTACATTTCCTAAAAGTAATCCAAGCCATGAATTATGATTTTAAGCTCTGCAAACTATATATATATATGTAACCCATTTAACTTGGAGAGGTATTTAAATACTGGACAATGTAGTTCCTAATTTATCACTTATTTTTACTCACTTTCAAATTTAGCTATAAACAAGGCTACAAAATAATCAGAAAAAAAGCTAACATTGCTAGTTCCTAACCCCCAGGCCCACCAAGAAATTTTCAGGAAAAGTAAATAGCTATTTCATTACAAAAAGGAACTGGAGAAATGTGGGGAAAATGCAAACTCCAAATTCACAGAATACAAGTTGTCATGTATTTCTTAAATTACATTTCTTGACCTTCTGTCTTGAAACAATGTATTATCTTCACTTAACTTTTGAATATTATATTAAGCCTAAATCTCACAAAGCAAAGCATTAGATTAACCATTTCTAAGCTTCTCCCTTCCTGGCAAAATGTCATTTTCTACACTAAGGATCTCTGCTCTCAAACGTGTAAACATATGTAAGTAAGCATTAAGGTGAAAACCTTGCCTTATAGCACCTCTCCCTCATACCTCCAGGCACCCACATTTGTATTGTCCTGACCCCAATTCCTTGGCCACAGTTGACTGGCCAGGTAAACATGGGTTTTAAAGTCACACTCTTGTGGTGTGTCATATAAATGAATTCATCTATCCCTTATCTCCTTCATGATCACTTCATGATCCTGTATCTTTTGTGCTTGAAGTTCTTAATGATTGCCTTCCTTGACAATCAGAACATCTGCCTTAACTAATCTCTGGAATCTGGGTACAAATTCCACAGCAGCATTTTTATCTACACTAGCAGCCTCCCCAGAGAGCTAAACGTTAGCCAGTTCATGATGACTTCTGAATTGATGAAACCATCTTTGGCAGTAAAGTTCTTCTTCAATCTCCTTATAATTACTGTTTTCTTTCTTTTTTTTTTTTTAAATTTTTTTTTTT